CTAATATTAATAATTTTTTTATTTTTTTTTTCTTTTACTTTTTTTTTTTTTTTTTTTTTTTTTTTTTTTTTTTTTTTTTTTTTTTTTTTTCTTTTTTTTTTTTTTTTTTTTTTTTTTTTTTTTTTTTTTTTTAATTTTATTTATATATATATGTATATATATATGAAAAGACGTGGCATGCAGCGAATCGTTTCAATAATCAACCGGCGTGTGTGTGATTGTGGGATCAAGCATGCAAGCTAAAGGTTCAAGAGGATGCAAGGGGGAGGCAATATTGGCAAACAGCGCACAGATACGGCCATCTTTCTATTGGAAGAATATTACGAAGTTGCATTGCTCTTTTCGGAGAAGAATGCACATGCTTATTGGAAGTGCATACATTGCAGCTGTGATAAGGCATATAATTCCTAGCGTCAATTCTTCTTCCATTTTCTTCAATTATTTCTCTTCTTTGCTCGATTGTTTGTGCTACCCGAATCACAAGAAAAACAGGACTTGAGCTGAGAGATACGAGAGATGATTATGGTTGGATGCGAAAAGTAGTATATTCGTTCTTTACTTACAGCAGCAAGACCAATCATCTGCGAAGCCCGCTGATCATATTCATCGTCTTTCTTAGCAGCAAAAGAGTAGAGTTCATTCCTCATGAATCCCTCTGATATCCTTTTCTCCCTCTTCCACCCCCAGGTCTCTCCTCTCGGTCATTCGTTGCCTCCTTCATCTGCATCTGAAATGAGAAAAGTAAATTCGCCCCTTTAACGCCGTCTTTATTCGTTCCCTGGTATTCGTCTTCTACTCCCTCTAACCCCCATCCTATCGCCGATTTGTTCGTAGGATGCATAGTGTTACAGTGTATTCGTAAACTGAGGTGGAAAAAAAAAGGGAGGAAAATCCCTATAGCTCCCTTTTTCACCTTTTTGCTTTTTTTTTCCCCCTTCCTTTTCCTCCAATTTTTGTGCTGAGTAGTATGTATATGCAGTATATATGTGTGTGTGAGTGAATGTGCGGATGTGCGATTTTCGTGTTAGTTATACAGAGAGGAGAGAAGAAGAGAGTAGAGGATTTAGGCGGGCGTGTGGAAGAAGCGCAGAATGACCTCGTACATGCCGAACATGATGGCCGCACTAGGCACCGTGCGCATGAGATGAGGAGTCAAGCCGCCGTAGAGGCCCATGAGGCCTTCTTCCTTCCAGACGAGCTTGAAGCACTGGACCAGGCCGGTGTACTTGAGCTTGCCGTCTGCCAGCGGGGCCTGTCGCAGACGAGTTCTCGCAACCTAGATGTGGAGATGAGAAAATGTTCAGGGCAACAACTTAGAAAAGATGCTTCAACTCACCTCATGAGGATAGGCAATCACAGCGGCAACCAGCTTCGCGCCTCCTGCAGCTCCGCCGTTGCCCATGACGTCCACCACGCGATCCCAGTACGTCTTTTCTCGGCCGCTCGCCACAATAAGCGCCTCCCGTCGCGCAAGATAGGCCTTGAGCTGCTCGTACAGCATCCACTGCATTGTCGACTCGACCACGCCCAGATAGCTGGCGCTCATGCCCTTGTACAGGCCGCGCACGCCCTCGTCGCGCACCACCTGCTTGACGCAGTCCCAGCTGTTGCGGTACAGGCGCTGCGTCACGCCGCCGCTGCGCTCCGAGACGTTCTTGTCCAGCTGCAGCCGCGTCTTGACCATCCAGATGGGATTCGTGGCCGTGCTGGTGGCGACGCCCGCAGTCACGCCCGCCAGCAGATGCACCCACGGCGCCTCCTCGCCCCTGTTCCAGTACTCGGCCATGAGGCGCTTGCCGTTGCCGTAGACGTAGAAGTTGATGCTGCGCGCGGGAATGACGCCTACCAGGTTCGGCCCCAGGCCCTTGAACAGCGCGCGCGATCCCTCGACGCGGTAGACCGAGCCCAGGATCTGCAGCGTATCGGAAAGGTGGTAGATGGCGCTGCGCACAGGATTCAGCCGCCGCAGAGCTTGCGCCTGGGCCGCTCTGGATGCGCGGATCTGTGCCTGGTAGAAGTCGGACTGGAGTCTCGTCTTGAGGACGTCGAGCGGCGCCGTCACAGCTGCGGCCGTCATGCCACCAACACTGTGGATTGTTTTCAAGTCAGATACTCTGTCTGTCTGTACGTTTGGAGCTTACATCTCCGCATCGGGCTCCAGAAACAAGACTCACCCTCCAGCCATGAAATGCACCCACGACTTTGCAAATGGCAGCGCCTTAACCTGCCCTCGAGGGCTGTCGTCCGGCAGCACATCGCCCGTCTCTCTCGATTGGATCAGCGCCGAATGCTCTGCGGGAACGTGCGAGTGCTGGAAGGGCCGGCGATCATCTCGTCCTGCTAGATATGGGGGAGCAACAGCAGGACCCTGCTGCTGCGCCATGGCCAAGTTTTTTGTATTCTCTTCGTTTTATTTCTGCTTTGTCTTTTCCCTTGTTTCTTTGATTTTTATCCCAATACTGTTATAATAAAGAGGAAAAGGAAGCTTTCGTTAAACGGCGCGGTGGCGGCTTTTCGATATGATAGCGGGTTGGTTGGATGATCGATCGAGAGATTATTCTTCGGTTTGCCAGGTAGGTTCCGGAAATGGAAGAACGAGGAAGGAAGATGAAAATAAGAGACAGAGGTTCGGTTAAGTTGGGCAGGAGATAGTAGTTTGCTTTTGGAAGGAGCGGAGGTGAAAAGAGAAAAGAAGGTTCAGCAGTTGCTAGTGGGCGGTCTTGGGGGGGGGGAAGAAGAAAAAAAAAGAGAGTTCGTAAAGAAATGAAGAAACGTGAAATGCCGTTTATTGCCTCTTCGATTTCTTTGATTTTGTTTTTGCGGCTCCGGCTCTAATTTTTTTTAACCTTCTCCGATTCCTCTTCCTACTAGCGGAGTTCGCTTTTAGCTCGAACCTGAATGGCGCATTCAGCTGCCAAGGTGGGCCAACTCTTTGTAGTGGCGCAGGTACGTATCCCCGCGATGTCATCGATGCGTTTGTATCAGTTCTATAAGGTAGTACGTACTTACTACTACCTACATCTAGCGTACTTATATATTGTGCTGTGACCCTTTACATGGCAAACGTTTCCCTTGATAATGAATCATTTCTTAACTTTTTATATTCCAGATCTCTCGTTCAATGTTATGCTGAGTCTGGCATTCGCGAGAATGAGCCCAATGATCAATGCGGGAATCACGATGGCAGTGGTGATATGGAAGAGCCGAGCAAGATGCGGAATTGATTGAGTTCAAAGACCTTGCCTTCAAAACTATCTCAGAGACGAATCATGATAGTATTGCCTTGAAACTGACAGTTCTCAAGGAAATACTTGAATTTTTTTGGTTTTTTTGTTGGAGAAGCTCATTGAGAGTGGTCGCTGCAGTAGACATCACAATCAAGTCTGGAGCTTGTAGGCGAGAGCTCAAGTCTCCACCTACCATCAAAGTCTTATTACAGTATACTGCTAAAGAGGTACATGCAATCATGTCAAATGGGGAGTTCCAGTTATAGAAATCAAAAATTGCTATTGGTTCGCTGCCTGCAGACCCCCCCCCCCCCCCCCCAATTACCACCATACATGTACTTATTGATAGCATCCATATCGTATAATCGTATACCCAGTATTCCTAACCAAATTGCCCTTGTACCTTGCCTACCTATATATCCCATCATAAACCCGCTTGTACCTTTTTGCAAAGGTGTCCCACTTAAGTTCCCATGAAGACCACGCATTAAAAGCTACCAATATAGTACTAGTAGTTATAGTATCTATTATCGAAAATGAATCCCTTGAGCACCCTTACATATGCAATACCGGCCAAATTGCATTAGTGGGAGTGGTATGCGCGAGGCTCGTAGTCGTCATAGTCTGGAGGCGACAGGATCGCCGAAAGATGCCCCGTTCGAGGAGGGTTCCTCTGCACAGAAGGAGGAGCAGAGTCAATTCTGGTCAGCCGCGACGTGGGCACCAGCCTCAGTGGAGGCTCGATAGTGGCTGGGGCTCCAGGAGAAGAGGAAGAGGAGGCCGAAGCGGAAGCGGAAGCCAGCGCTGATGACGCTGCTGCTGCTACTGCTGCCAATGCCAATGCCGATGCCGATGCCGATGCCGATGCCGATGCTGGCCTGGATGCCAGCTCCACCTGGCTCGTTGACTCTGCCGCAGCGCCGGAGCTCTCACCAGGGTTGCTACTACTGGCAGATCCTGAACCAGAGCCATGGTTGTTGCTGGCCTCAGCCTGTGCGGCGATCTTGTCGGCGGCGGCAGCAGCAGCAGCAGCTTCTTCTCGCAGCTTCTGTGCCTCGCGCTCGATTATCTCCAGCTGATGCCTCACAATCTCGGCTTCCTCGTCCGTGACGTTTCTCCAGCTGCATCTCGCATGTTTCTTGGTGCAGCCTCGACAAGCCGACAGGTGCTTGACGCACTGGAGACGAAGACGTCGGCATCGATCACAAGTGGGGAAGATGACATCTCCCTTGTTGATCGTGTCTGTTTTCTTCAACACGAGAGCTCGGTATTTTTCTGGAGCGAGATCCTTTCCTGCTGCTCCACGTCTACCTCCTCGTCCCCTTCCTGCTCTTCCTCTCGCTCTTGTCAAAGGTAGAGCTGGAATCGGGACTGGGGTCGGAGCTGGAGCTGCTGGGAGCGAGCTCGATGTTGAGAATGAGACCACTGAAACTGGCGCCGGAGTTGACGATGCTGGGACCGATGTTGTTGGCGATGGGACCAGGACAGGTACCGGCGCCAGAATCGAAGCCAAGGACGAGGGGGAGGGGGAGGGAGAGGATGTTGTTCCTGCTGGCTCGGCTACATTGGGGTAGGTAAGGACCGGCAGCGGTTGATACGGTGGCGCCTCAAGAATCGGCGCCGCCAGGGGGCTAAGACCGGTAGCAATAGCAGGCATGGCGGAGTCAAAAGCAGGGTGCTGCTGGTAATGGTAGTATCCCGGAGGTGGACCTTGTGGCGGCTGATGCTGCGTCGAAGCCACCATGAACTGGTGGAGAAGATCCGCGTGGAGATCGTGGGGCGGCGAGCCGCAGCCGCCGGGTCCCGAACGTGGTGGATGGTTGATGGCACAGAAGCCAGAGCTGACGGTAACGGCATTAGCCACAGAGGCATCAGCATGGCGCAGAAGCTGGTGGGCCACGTCTTTTCTGCGCGTTTCGAGCCTGCGACTGAGAAAGCGGGTCCTTGCCGCAACCTCGTCTGCCTTTTTATACAAGAAGGAGGACCTCTGCAGCATGATCTCGAGCGTGGCTAGCTCGGCCGCCTCATCCTCTTGAAAAATGTGCTCCAGGGGGAACTTGTCCAGCGCTCCAGAGTATATCAAGCGCCAGTCATCTTCTGCAATCTCGACCTGAAGGCCATTGTACATGAACTGGCGGCATCGTGCGCCGTCGGGCAGGATGACGGGGGAGAAGGCATCTGGATTGGCCTTGGCAAAAGTGACCACGTCCAGCCAGGTAATGGAGTGCACCAAGGGATGTGGCGAGTTGACTTTGATGGGGCCATCAAAGAATCTCTCAATGCCTCTGAGGAAACGGGGTCCTGTCAATCTAGCCCCGAGACTCGCTGCTAGACTCTCGCTCCGGTCCAGTACGCCTAAGTATTGTTCATATTAGCACGAGGTTGATTTAGATGTAGTCATTGGAGGACATGATAGACCTACCTTCGTATTCATTGATGAGATGGATGATGTTGTTGAAGGTATCTAACTCGCCTGGCAAGAGACCTAGCAGTTGAGCATAATGGTGTCTCGGCAAGAAGTTGATGTATGGCTGGGAGCCTGCCATGATGACATTAGCCTGCTGTGTAACAGAACTTGATATCTTGCAAAGATATGAGAGAGAAAGACGTGTAGGAAGGAGATAGGAAAAAGGTCAAGGTGAGTAGGGCAGACGAAATAAGTAGTCGATGCTGGTATGTATTACTGTACCAGCATGTAGTAATATTTAGTCCAGAGACAGAGCCCACTAATAAGGCTACCAAGACGGGGAGGGCTGATAATGGATCTAGCTAGCCGTCCCGGTCCTGAATCGAAGCAATGTGGAGTACAGTTCCACCAGCTAGCATTCTAGTGTAACTGATCGGAGGCGGGAAAGGGAGGGAAGTGGAGAAAGGATGTAGCATAGAAAAAGGAAAGAAAAAAGGCCGGGGCATTAACGAATGATGGGCGAGTTGATGTGCTAGGCTCAGTGTCTGGACAACATACCTGGAGCCATGACAGGCACTGATAGGCAACGGTCGGAAGGTTCAGGTTGGTGGTTGATGGTAGCCTGATGGAGGTGGGTGGGCTGGCCGCCGTCATCCTCAAGATTGCGCTTCCGCTTGTGGGGTTCGTTCTCCGGAGGTGGTGGCATGGCAGCTGTCGTTTATAGTAGCTTGTGCTGTAAGCAAAGCTGCTGGATCCCGATGGGGCCTGGTAATAGAGGCGGAGACAGCGGAGACCCGAATGGATTTCAAGATCCCAAGGCAGAGAGTGATGAGGCCGGTAGGTGGGTGTGATCTTTTCTCTTCGGAAAGCGGAATTAATGGTAAGTAGTCGAAGCGAGAGGACACGGAGTCAACGTTGCAGCAGCGTAAACAACCGGATTTGAAAGAAGAGATAATATATGGGGTTTTTAGAAAGAAGAAGGAAGAAAACCCTCCCAAGAGCTTCAAGCAAACCGGGTACTCGGATGGTTGTAGGCTTGTGGATCGTGAGGTAGAGAGGAAGGGAGCGGAAGAGTAAAACGAGTGGCAGAAGGAAGATGAGCAATCGAAAAAAAAAAGAGGAAGAAGGGCGGAATCCTTGGGTTATTGTATGAAGAGCGAAAAGAAGTGGTAACAAGTGCAAAGAGCTATCAAATGCGGCTTGTCGGATTGATGCCCGCTCAGATGACAGTGGGTCTATCTACGGGCGGCGACTAGGGGAGGGGGGAAAAAGGGTAAGGGAGGGGGGTTTCGTTAAAATGGGAGGAAAAAAGAAAAGGCGACATCTTGTTTTGGTATAGATGGGATTGTACTTGGACACTTTTCGTATCAGGAATCACGACCAAGCATTGGTTCAGCGGGAGTGACTCTGGGAATGGTGGGAAGGAGAAAAAGAGACGTTTTTTCTTTCTTTGACCTGTGCAAATAGCATATGCAGTTTGTGTAGTATTAGTGATGGTAAAAGCGATGGTAAAAGTGGCATAATATGCCGCACCGGTTGCTCTGCACGACACGTTTGAATGTCTGCTTGTATTGTCCTCTGTATGCGTGCCCCATACAGCTCCATGGAGATGTGCATATTCGGCAGACAAGTCTGCAGGTCTGCATACGACACAACAGAACAGAGTGCTGGCACTGGTGGCATGCATAATGCGTGTGGAAAAGCTGTGCGAGTGCAGCACGTATGCATGCGTTGACCAACCCAAAGAGCCCAAAAGAGCCCATGCCTTTACAGTACAGCCCGCACAGCGCGCAGCTTAGGACCAGGCAGGTTCGGGATTATCCACAATGAGAACACTCCAGGGGGGGATGTGGTACCTACGGTAGCAGCAGCCCAAGTAAATGTGGCTTGCATCACAGCTTGACAGCCAAGAGAAAAGAGATTGAAAGACAAGACACACGCTAGGCCGTGCCGCAGTCTGGAAATGGAGTGGGAGGGGGCAGGATACAAGAGAGCAAACATTGGACATACAAATATTGCAAAAAGCCATCATCGATCGATCGAGGCATGCGGAGATGCGTGAGAACGATCGCTTAGTACACGGGAGCACTAGCGGCTGGCGGATATCTTGATACTTCAGAGCAGTGGTAGAGGTAGTTGATCTTTGTTTGGGTTTGTAATCGTGGGCGGAAAAGTGCCAGAGCTGGGGATAGAATAAGAGGGAAAGGATTGAAAAAGAGCCAGATCTCCGCCTACTGGCGGAAGAGAATGAA